TTAGTTGGTAATTTTTTGATGACCTGTTCAATTTCTTCTTTTGTGATGGGCCTGTTCAAATTTTTCACTTCAGTCTGTGTTAGTTTAAGTAAAAAAGACCTCTTTAACATATTGAAAAGCAACGATGTCACTTTGAGGACTGACCCAAGGTGTGCCTGACCCAAGCTATGGTATTTTCAATGACCTCATATGCATGTGTAAGGAGCTCTGGTGACATAGCTGCTAACCAAAAGGTCAGTGGTTTGAACCCACCAGCCACTCTGGAGGAGAAAGATGGGGCAGTCTGCTTCCATAAAGATTCACAGCTTTAGAAACCCTATGGAGCAGTTCTGTCCTCTAGGATTACTATGAGTTGAAATTGACTCGATGGCAGTTGGTTTTTGATTTTTTCATGTGCATGTGAAAGCTGGACAACGATTAAAGAAAAATTTACTTGAATTATGGTGCTGGCAAAGAATATCGTCAATACTGTGGACTGCCGGGCAAACCAACCATTATGTCTTGGAAGATGTACAGCCAGAATGCTCCTTGGAAGCAAGGATAATGGGACTTCATCTCACATGCTTTCAACATACTGTCAGGAGGCACCAGTCCCTGAAGAAGGACATGATGCTTGGTAAAGTATGGGACCCAGCAAAAAGGAGGAAGACCTTCAACAAGATGAATTGGCACAGTGGCTCCAACAATAGGCTCACAATGACTGTGAGGATGGCACAGGACCAGTGCTTGGACAATTTCTCTCAGAAAGATCAGCACAAGGCCGGTCCCCGTGAGGCGGAGGTTAAAGATGTCCCAAATGTCCAAGCTACCATGCCACTCCATCATTTCAGACATTAACTCCTCCTCCTCCTCCCAGTAATTTCCCCAATCTTAGGGTTCTGTATTTCGCTGTAACACCTCACAGAACTCACAGACACCCAAGGGATCGTCTCACGTAGTGGTGATGGAGGCTGGCAGGCTGGCGAGTCCTGGGTCCGTGAATGAGTCTGGAGGATCCTCCAGTTCTCGGGGTTTGATGAACATCGATCAGCAGATCAGATGACGGCTGCTGTCCCAAATCCAGGGGTGAGATGAGGATGATCCAAGACACAGAACCGGTTCAAGAGGAGGGTGGACCTTCCCAAGAGATTCGTAGGTATACCCTCAAGGAAGCTAAGGGTGGTGATTTCAGTTGTACCTTCCAGCAAGGCAGGACTCAAGATACATTCCACCTGTGTTGCTCCAACAGAAATAACCCAAGTGGATGACTTTAACAATCAGCAGCTCAAGGCAAATTCCACCACAGAGCCCATTGCCAGTCATTATGGGGAACAACAGCTACCAGCTGCACAGCCAAGTTAACACCCGACCTTAACTACCACACCACCCCAAACAGGCATGGATAATAGGATTTACAATACATCACAGAATGGAGGACAGTGGCTCAAAGGGCCACATCAAGCAATTCACGCAACCAGGCAGTGTTTCGTTTTGTTGTATGTGAGGTTGTTATGAATTGGAACTGACTCCAGGGCACCTAACAATAGCAACATCCTGGATGTTAAGTGACAGATGACTGTATTGTGAAGGAACACACAAGGAGTGGGGGAGAAGAGCACAGAAGTTCCTCTGGTTTTTTCACCCTTCCTAATCTCTCAAAACTAGACATAAGGGCTCTAGGCCCCTGGCTTGCTTTCCTGTGAGAAAAGAATTGCTGTTGTTAGCTGCCCTGGTGTTATCCTGCTCTCATGCATTGTAATAAAAGGGAGAGTGTGAGACCAAAACATCATCCAATTACCATCTTAGGAGAAAATAGGGAATGAAACATGGTAAACTAGGAACCAAGTAAGAATACTGTGAGAAACTAGACCTTTGTAACATCTCCATTCTAATTATTTTGATTTATTTGATCAGTAAAACAATTTAAAAAGATTCTCTATGTTTTTGTTGTTGTGTTTAAGGAAGGCATTTAAGCCCTGCTGATAATATAATAAGAGTGTTGCCTTAAACTTTGCTTACAAGTCTTGGTCCACTGTGACTAACAACTTGTTTTAACAGTGGTATTTTGCTTTTATGTAACCTTAAAGGACACCCTTGGAGATTCCCAAAAAACTGGCTGAGTTTGCAATAGACTTTTGGTGTTTTGTGTTACACAAGCAATAGAGCTTTTGTCCTAGGTGCTAGACTTTGGGTTGCAATGAATGGGAGGTTGAGTGTCATCTGATCAGTTAGCCCCAGTTTGTGATAAAATGCCTTTTTATTTCCCAAGAGAACCTGCTTCATCTCAAACTAATAGACACAGGGAATTCAAATCTCCTGGCCTTTCTTTTAATTTTTGTTTTGTCAGTGGACAGACACCAGCAGAATCCGATTTCCAACTTCTGGAGATTGCCCGTCGGCTGGAGATGTATGGAATCCGGTTGCACCCAGCCAAGGACAGGGAAGGTACTAAGATCAACCTGGCCGTTGCCAACACAGGAATTCTAGTATTTCAGGTAAGAGTATTTACAACACAGCTCAGTTCCCTTTGTGATGAGAAGAGTTGTCCCTTTGACTCTGATTCTGTGTTGGGTGGGCTAAATTAAGACCTCTGATAGTTACTTTTAGATGAACAGGGAAAAATCAACCTTGTCTCTGGCTTTCTGTTTCTTTTCAGGCCCTGAATTTCCAGATTCTCTTTCATTTGCCTTTGCCTTAATAATGGATTTGCATGGGCTCATTGACTGTGAGCAGTTGACCAGCTGCTGTGTAGTCAACTCTGACTCATGCAACTCCGTTGTATGTCAGAGTATAACTGTGTTCCATAGGATTTTTAACAACTGATTTTTGGAAGTAGCTCACCAGGACTTCCTTTTGAGGCAAGTCTCGGTGTACTTGAACTTCCAATGTTTCGGTACTTACACTACCCAGGGATTCCTGTTGACTGCAGAATCATAGACATCTGTGTCTTCAGTCAATCTATACTTAAAGCATAATATGATGATCAAGATTTCAGATCCCCAAATAAACACCTTTTACATGCTGACACATGATGTTCTGCTGTAACAGGATCCTTTTTCCTTTTTTTTAACCTTATTTGAGTTGAGCCAGCTTATTTGTAACTTCATATGCACCTAATTTAAAAAGACGTATAACATGAACCTTTAAGATACAGCCATCCTATGAATTCATAAAAGCCGTGTCTTTGCACTGCAGTAATTTCACACCATGACACACTGCACTAGAATTCCTACTTGCATTTTACTTAAATGCTCAATGATTCTTTGCATTCTGACATGTGCACTCTCTTGGTCACACTGCTGTTGAACTGTTTTATTGATCAGTGCTTCTCTCTTTTTCTTAACAGTTTTATTGAACAGTTATTGCCATACAATTAAACTGCACATACTTAAACATATAGTTGGATAAGTTTTGACATTTGTGTAGTCTCGCAAAACCACCAACACAATCAAGATCAAGCACATATTCATCACCTCCAGAAGTTTCCTCAGTGCTTTTGAACAAAATGGTCATCTGTGCTTTGATTTTAAAAAGATATAGATAAGGCATCAGTATTTCTCAAGAAATAGGGTCCATTTCTACCTGTTTTAGATATTGTAAACATGTGTGTGACCTGAAATTCTTTTTTTGAGCTCTGCATACGTTTTCTTCCATTTTCCCCTTTCATGTTTTATCCAAATTGTTCCTCCCAGTGATTCTTCTCTCATGCATCACATGTATACATGTGGCGAACGCTAATTTTTATAGAATCCAAGAGAAGTTAAAGTTGAGTTTCATGCTTTCGAAGCAGCATGGTATCTGAGGCAGTGACAGCTCCTAACAGTCTTGACCTACATAAATAGTCTGTGAGTACCCAAGAAGAAAAACAACAATAAAACCAAATGTAATTTTCAGTACTACTGTTAAATTTCAAAATCAAAACCATCAAACATTTCTGAACATCATAAAGAGTGAAAAGGAATACTTGGAATCTAATTAATTTGCTTTGATTGCATTTGATATGATCTCAATATTGAGAATTGCTCAGTAATTTAATAATGTACAAATGCTGTATCTTGGAATTAATCTTCTTGCCACTGCCTAATTGCTTCATTCTCACCACTTTGAATAAATGGACCTAGTGTTAAAGTGGGATGAGTAGGAATTCTAATTTTAGATGAGAGAACCAAACAGATGGGAGTTTGTGTCTGGAAACTCCTTGCTATGCCTCTACCACATCCTAGCTGGCTACCAAAGACCAGAGGATGTGTGAATCCTCCCCAGAGACTGTGCAGCCCTGGGCATGGGTAGCCCTGCAGCCCAGTCTCCCTTCTGTAATCTGCTTTTGCTAATGAAAGTTAAGTGGGTGTAGGAGCCAGCCTAGTCTGGATGGGTAGGGGTTGATGGCTAACCTTCTACTTTGTTTCTGTGGCTATAGCAGTAGCCTGTAGGTACTTGATCAGGAATCTCAGCCTATCACATGCACTCTATGATGTTGGACAAATTAAAATGCAGTAAAATCTGTGAAAGCCAGGAGTGTGCAAGGAGGAAATCTGCCCGAGAAGGAAAACTAAAATATTTTCCACTAGAAGAGAGTGATAGAAAAGTGTTAAGACTAAACCCTGTCAAAGGCGGAAAACTTGTGAGACCTGGAAAAACAAGGCACTCCCATTGAGTTCAGTCTCATAGGTTTCACTGTATATCTGTGTTGCAGTTTCCATGCCTATAAAATTATAATAATAATAATTTCATCTTGCTGAGTTTCCTTTAAGGTGTTTGGCTTTTTTTTTTTTTTTTTTTAATACTTTATTGTAGTTTTGGTTAAAAGTCTACAGAGCAAATTAGTTTCCCATTCAAAGATTTATACACATTTTGTTTTTTCACATTAGCTACAATCCTCTCAGTGTAATAGCACTCTTCTCACTTCTTCCTGGGGTTCCCCTATCTGTTTACCCATCTTTCTGGCCCCTTGCTGCCTTCTGAACTCTGTTTTTGGGAAAATGCTGCCCTTTTCGTCTCATGTGGTTGATTGTTTTGAGGTGCACGTTCCTCACAGATACTACTTTATAAGCCTGTCTGTTTGGCTGAAAGGTGATCTCTGGGAGTGGGTTCAGTTCCAGATGGGAAGGTCATCTAAGGGCCACAGTCTTGGTGGTTCCACTAGTCTCTGTCAGACAGGTCAGTCTGATCTTTTTTATGATTTTGAATTTTGTTCTACATTTTTCTCCCACTCTGTCCAGGACCTTGTATTGTGACCCTGATCAGAGTAGTCATTACTGTTAGCCAGATACGATCTAGTTCTTCTCGTCTCAGGCTGGTGGAGGCTGTGGCTTATGTGGTCCATTAGTCCTCTGAACTATTTCCTTGAGTCTTTGATATTCTTCACTCTTCTTTGCTCTGGACAGGAAGAAACAAATAGTTGTATCTTAGATGGCCATCTGCAAGTTTTTAAGACCCTAGTTGCTACTCATCAAAGTAGGATGTAGAATATTGTCTTTTATGGTCTGTGTTATTCCAGTTGACTTAGATATCCCCTGAGATTGTAGTCCTAAACCCTCAAGCCCAGTGACTCAATCCTTCATGGTGTTTGGTTATGGCTAAGAAGTTTTCAGAACTTTGTCCCCTCTACTGTATACCTGGATATATTTGTAGCACATACAGATATGTATATAGAAATAACCACTGCCAAATCTGTATGTGCTTGTGGGTGTACTCCCATATGCCATCCCACAACTCTTCAGCTTACATATCTACCTGTGTATCCACTTGTAAATTCTTGTTATTATTACTGTTATTGCAGGATGATGTATGTAATAATGTTCACCATTGATGCCTTTCAGTCTTGCATACCTCCCTGTGTCTTCCTTTGCTTTGGTCATGTTGTACTGACTTCCCCCTTATTGGGTATTGCCCTTGCCTTCACCCAAGTTAATATAGGTCTACTATCTAGTGAGTGTCCTAAAATGTTTTGATAAGGTATGTAAAGCACTTAGCACAGTGATTGGCATTCTGTAAGTGATAAACCAAAAAAACCAAACTTGCTGCCATAAGTGATAGCTGCTAATTAATGTGATGACTGTCAGGGTTTTTATTTTTATTTATTTTATTATTGTTACCTGGACAAGCCTCTTCTCTCCCTGGAGGCAGACTTAGCCTAAAGGCTGCATCGTGTAGATAGCAATGAATAATGATCTAGAAACTGGTATCACCCAATATCCACGGATTCTGTGAGTTCTCCAGCCAAAGGCAGATTTACTGAGTAATGCCACTTCATTCTTCTGCCTTCAGCTCCCCACACACAAAACAGACTGACTCTTAATGTTCATTAGTACGTGTTTTTTCATTCACTAGTTGAGATCTTCTGTTTTGTTTTGTAGGGTTTCACTAAGATCAATGCCTTCAACTGGGCGAAGGTGCGGAAGCTGAGCTTCAAAAGGAAGCGCTTTCTCGTCAAGCTCCGCCCTGATGCAAATGTAAGTGGTTCAGAGAGCGAACTGAGACAGTGGTACCTGCCCTGTTGGTCTAGGCTGAAGTGTAGCGCTGTGCTAGAACCTGAAGGCTTCTTGAAGGCTTCTCTTGGCAGGGCTTATACTGAGGGTTTGGAAGGAAGATTGGGCAATCTACTTCCATAGAGATACTACTTCAGAAACCCAAGGAGGGTTCGCTGTGAGTCGAATTGACTCCATGCCAGTGAGTTTTATACTGAAAGTGTGCCCAAGTGGTAAATAAGTACTGTTGTAAAAGTGAACTCTGAATTTGGGAACAAATAAAGGTGATGGTTGAACAACATGATGAACATAATTAATGTCCCTGAACTATACACAGGAAGATTGTTGAAACGGCAAATATTTGGTGATATATATACTTACTACAGACAAAAAAGTTACCAACAAAACAAAAAAACAACTCTGAATGTCTATACGTAGAGGTATATATCCAAACCCTCAGTAACTCCACAACTGTCATTCTTGCTAAACAGAGAGAGGGTGAAGAACGCCTAGCACAGAAGGGGACTTAGGGAGGTAGTCATTTACTTGGGCAAACACAGGCAGCCCACCTACAAACAACCTCAACTATCAGTTGCTGAAATTTCTAGCCTTGCCCCCACTGTGATGCCATCAGTATTCTGCCATTTCCAGGCATACTCTGCTGATACAGGAGCTGTCCCTGACATTCAAGTCACCCAAACCTCTGACAGAGCTCATTTTCATGGCCTAACCAGGTCCTTCCCACTTGCTTCCCATGTTGCTATTGTTGTTAGATGCTGTGAGTTGGTTCTGACTCATAGTGACCCCATGTGGCAAAGTAGAAATAACTCATAGGGTTTCCTAGGCTGTGATCTTTACAGGACAAGATCACCAGGTCTTTCTCCCACAGAGCCACTGGATAGGTTTGAACCACCAGTCTTCTGATTAGTAGATGAATGCTTAACCACCAGGGCTGCTTTTACTTCCATAGAACCCTAAAGAGTTTGTTCACACCAGGACTGGGCCAGGGAAGGAAAGAACAGCATCGTCCCCTTCTGCTGGAAATGGCAATAGGAAAGAGATGGATGAAATATCTCTGGTGTCCCTACCCAGAACTTGGAGTACTTTTTCCCATGGAAAAAAGATTATAAACAGCAGCATTAGTTTATAGTTTAGCTACAATATGGATTAAATAGGCTCTTCCAGCCTGACCTGGGAAATAAAGAGCCTTCATAAGTTCTTCTCTGTGGGAAAATGCATTTTGAGTTCTTAAAAGCTGACTTACAAAGGAAGAATTGCAGCACAACTTGTTTGTAAGTTGACACTGCCCAGAACCGTAGATTCCCCTAAAATGGTTGCAACTGCTGGGAATGTTAAGATCCATGGTTCCTTTTGTTTATACAGTATGGCCACTTAAATCAGGAGCATGCAGTTAGGGGAGTAGAAAATTACTATTCCCTTCCCAGAATCAAAGGACATGAATTCTTAACATGATACATTTTGTGCTCCCTCAAAAAAATTTCATTTCCTATATGGTTCCTGGGGCCACCTGGAGACTTGAGCTATATGCTGTTTTATAGTGAAAAGACTTCAGACTAATATTCAAAGCTTGCATGACCTATGAGGAAGGAAACAGAAGAAAAACTGTGTTTCAGTTGTTTTAAGGAAGCAAAAAGGGAATTTCAATACTTGGAGTTTTTCTGTTTCCTTTTTTTAAAAAAGGAAATGTACGCCATGTAAACATTATTTATGTATGAATTCTATCAAAAGAAATGTTACCACTTCCACTGATTCTGTGCAACTGTTTATGTTAGTTCCTCTCCGGAATTCTGTGGGGAAGAAAATGATTGAATGGTGACAATGTCTTCTCATTAGAGACAATTGTATTTTACTATATATTCAAATTTAACTCATGCTGTGATACAACACACAATTACAAATATCCCTTTTCTCATTTTAGAGTTCATACCAGGATACCTTGGAGTTCTTAATGGCCAGTCGTGATTTTTGCAAGTCCTTCTGGAAAATCTGTGTTGAACATCATGCCTTTTTTAGACTTTTCGAAGAGCCTAAACCAAAGCCAAAACCTGTTCTCTTTAGTCGAGGGTCATCCTTTCGGTTCAGGTAAGCCTGCTGCTTCATACCTGCCCGTTTGCCATGGTAACATTTGTTTCCTCAGACTTTTCCTAATAGCTACCACAGCTGTGTGATACCCAGCGAGGAGGGAAGCTGAACACTGATTGGCCTCTGATGGAGGTGTGTGCTGGGTAATCCTAGCAGGCTCTTGGTATTATCCTTACTGTGTTCTTTCTGAGCATTAGCCTGCCACTGGACAATCCACCCACCACAAGAAACTCCTAACAGGATTCTCTGATTGAGAATTGGTTCCCCATCTCTGTAGAAGCGAAGATGTCTTATTAACATTCATGTGGTTATATAGAATAAAACGTAGACAAGCCCATCATTACTTCCTTTATATGTTCATTCTTTCAACAAATTGAGTGTCTACTGGATGCCAAGTACCATTTCAGAAATCAAGGGAGTATAATGTTGTTGTGTTGTTGTTGTTGTTATGTGCTGTCAAGTCAGACCCGACTCCTAGTGACCCCTCCTTGGGTTTCCGAGGCAGTATCACTATGGAAGTAGATTGCCCTGTCTTCCTTCCGAGGAGTGGCTGGTGGGTTTGAACTGCCAGCCTTCTGGTTAGCAGTCAAGTGCCTTAAGCACTACACTACCAGAGCTCCCAAGGGAGTATAATAGTGAACAAAATTATCCTCACTGTTATGAAACTTACAGATACTTGGGATGATTGTTTAATAACCAGACACACAATTATTAGGTGAATTGATTTAATTGAATGTTTTTCTCTTATATAGAAAGGAAATATCAAGAGTTTGATGGGATACAAAAACACTGGTTCTCTTAGAATTGCTTTTATTTCTGGCTAGCTGAAAAAACCCACATAATCTTCCATTATGGAGGACAGGGAAGTAAAATTACTGAAGTGTTTGTGTGTTTATTGAGAATGCCTTGATGTCTTCTCTTCTTTCCCCTTATGGTCTTCATTTTAGTGGTCGAACTCAGAAGCAGGTTCTCGACTATGTTAAGGAAGGAGGACACAAGAAAGTACAGTTTGAAAGGTAAGTGAAATGTGAATGCTGTCTCTCACTTGACAGGAGTCATATTCTCCAGGTAACACTTCACTGCAGCTAAATATTTCTTCACCCAGACTCAGTGTGTAGTGAGTTACCAGATTTACTGCATCACAGTCAGTCTTCCCAAGTCAATATTAGACAGGAACATTTTAGGGCCCAGGGCACTGACTGAAGTGTAAGATGGGACAAGAAGAATAGACTGAGGAAGGGAAGGGAGCTAATAGAGGGCAAGGATAACAAAGGATTGTTGTTGTAGGGAGTGTTGCTAGGTGCAGTTGAGTTGATTTTTGACTCATAGTGATCCCACAGTAGAACTGCCCCATAGGGTTTTCTATTCTATAATCTTTATGGAAAGCAGATTGCCAAGTCTTTCTCTCACAGAACTGCTGGGTGGGTTGGAACTACCAACCTTTCAGTTAGTAATCAAGTACTTAACTAATGGATCACCAGGGCTCCTCACTGTTGGGGATAAGACAGTGTAAACACTTATTTACTAGTATGTCTTTAAATATTTTGTGATTTAAATAGAATAATTTCTATAAACTTTTAACCAAATAAAGTTTGGATGAGAAGAACAAGATAGTTTTATTATTATTATCAGCAGTGGCGGCAATAGCAAATACTTACAACTCTTACTAAGTGCTAGGCACTGTCCCAAGTGCTTTATATATGTTAACTCATTGAGTTTTCATACCAGCTATATGAGGTCGGTACTTTTTTACTCCTAAAAATAGAAAAGTTGTTGTTGTTATATGCCGTCGAGTTGGACCCAACTCATAGCAACCCCTCCTTGGGTTTCTGAGGTGGTATCACTACGGAAGTAGGTTGCCCAGCCTTCCTTCCGAGGAGTGGCTGGTGGATTTGAACTGCTAGCCTGCTGGTTAGCAGTCAAATGACTTAGGCACTATGCTAACCGAGCTCCCATAGTAAAGCTTAAAGAGGTTAAGTAATTAGCTAAGCTCTCATAGATGGTCAGAGGCAGAGCTGGGATTGGCCTCAGTCAGCAGGCTAAAGAGCCAATGCCTTCACCCCTGCTGGGTTGCCTGCAGAGTGAAGTAAAACTAAGGCACTAAGATAAAGGGTAGTGTAGGGCCTAAGACATTTGACTGCTAACCAGAAGGCTGGTGGTTCAAACCCACCAGCCACTCCTCAGAAGGAAGGTTGGGCAATCTACTTACTTCTGTAGTGATACCACCTCAGAAACTCAAGGAGGGGTTGCTATGAATCGGATCCGACTCGACAGCACATAAGATAAAGGGTAAAGTAAAAAAGTTGTGACAAGTATTTAAAGCATTGTTTAATGTATGCATTTTAATAGCTTTTTTCTTTTTGATATATTTCAATATTGCAATAAACTCCAGAGAATAATATACCAAACACCCATATTCCCTACTTATTAGAGTTAACAATTGTTACAATTTTGACATACTTGTTTCTCGTTTTCTTTTTTCTCTCCCTGTTATTTTTAGCTATTATTGTTACAGTTATGCCTAAAATCCCCTTTAACAACAACAACAAACTTTGCGCTGCAGTCAATTCCGACTCATATCAGTCCCACGTGTGCAGAGTAAAACTGTATCCGTAAGGTTTTTAGAGGTGCAATCTTTCAGAAGCAGATTACCAGGCAGTTCTTCCCAGGCTCCTCTGAGTGGGTTCAAAGCACCAACCTTTTGGTTAGAAGTTAAGCACTTAACTGATTATACCATTCAGGAGTTCCTCCTCTAATCTCAAACTCCCTCTTACTTCCTTTTCCCATCTTTATAAGCAACAACTGGTAAATTTACTACTTCTTTTATACATATGTGTGAGTCCAAAAGCAATAATTGATTTGAGTATGTGCTTTTCCATGTATATATGCAGTATCATACTCTATTTAATTCTGCTGCATCTTGCTTCTTTAACCCTACCTTGTTTTTGAGATATATTTTAAATGTTGTGTAGCATTGTGCAGGTATTACATTTTGTTTATCTTTGTCCCTACTACTAAACATTCAGGTTGTTTAGGTGTTTAATTTTGGTTTTGATGAAACAAATGTGCTGCTGTGGCCATCCTTATATATTTCTCCTCTTGCTATCTGTCGTCATTACTCCTGGTAATAAATATCCAGAAATGTAATGTACAGAAGGTTTCTAGTATGTGTATCTGGATATGACAAAGCCCATAATTTTCTTGGACAATTAGCAAAATCTTTTGAGTATCATTTAAGAAGTGACCTACTCCTGCTCAGGACCATGGCCACAGGGAACATCAAGCTCTATTGGCATCACATACTACACAAAAACATTGTTCTACATCCTGCTTTGGTGAGTAGCAACTGGGGTCTTTCAAGCTTACAAGTGGCCTTCAAGATGCAATAATGGGTCTCTCCTCATCCAGAGCAAAGAGTAATGAAGAAAACCAAAGACACATGGAAATAGTTAGTACAAGGGACTAGTAGACCATGCGAACCTCAGTCTATACAACTATGAGACCAGAAGAACTAGATGGTGCCCAGCTACCACTGTCAACCACTCAGAGGGAAATCAGTGCAGGAGATCTGGAAGAGGATCAGTGCAGAAGATCCTGGATAGAGTGGGAGAATAATGTCGAACAGAACCCAAAATCATAACAAAAAGACTAAGTGTGCTAGTCTTATAGAGCCTAGTGAGACCCCTGAGATTATGGCCCCTACCCACCCTTCAGGTCTAGAACTGAACTTACTCCTGTAGGTTCCAGCCAAACAATAGACAGGTATATGGGGTGAACATTTACATGAGGTAGATACACTCCTTGGAGCTATCATTCATGGGAGAACAGAAGGACAGTGTTTGCACTGGGAGACTTCTCAGGGGGCAGAAGTGTGTGGGAGAGAAGGACACCGAAGAGATAACTACAGGGAGGAGATAGGAGAGCTGTTATACTGTGGGGAATCGAAGTCAATATCATGGGGAAAAAAAGTTTATGAACTGCTGTATGTAAAATGAATTTGCTCTGTAAACTTTCACCCAAATCACACTGTAAAATGGTACAACCACTGTGGAAAGCAGTATAGCAGTTCCTTAAAAAGTTAGAACTAGAAATACCATTTGACCCAGCCATTCTGTTACTAGGTATATATCCTAAAGAAGTGAGAGCCATGACAAGAACAGACATATGCACACCCATGTTCATCACAGCACCATTTACAATAGCCAAAAGATGGAAACAACCTAGGTGTCCATCAACTGAGGAATGGATAACCAAACTATGATATAAACACACTGTGTAATACTATGCAACCCTAAAGAATAACGTTGAATCTGCAAAGCACCACATAACATGGATGAACTTGGAGTACATTATGCTGAGTGAAATAAGTCATGGACAGAAGGACAAATATTGTATTAGTCCATTATTGTAAAAGTCAAGGAAAGGTTTCTTTATGGAAGGAAATTTTCTTTGTTGGTTAACAGAGGTGGGAGGGGAAGGGAGGGAACACTGTTAGGTAGAGATAAGTATTGATTTTGGTGAAGAGAAGGGCAGTGTACCAAATGTGAGTGATCAACATGGTGGAATTGAGGAAGAGGAAGACAGAGAGAGGTACATGGAAGATGCAGACAACAAAAACGAACCCTTTTTTATGAACAGTACTGCGTTGTCAGTGAAAGCAAACGTGGATAGATGGGTGGAGAGATGGGTGGACAGGCTGAACTATTAGGTATGTCTATGCAGCAGGGAGTATGCCCAAGGCCATGTATAGGGTTGGCAGACAATTGTTCTACAAGTGTATTTGTATGTTCTATAAGAATTCCCAGGTCTACATAGTCGCAGGGGACATCAAGCTCAATTGGCATAACATACTATACAAAATATTGTTCCACCTCCTACTTTGGCAAGTAGCGACTGGGATCTTAA